CTGGTGGCCTGGGGGGAAAAAACTGTTCAGGTGCCTGGTGGGCACAAGAAGACAAATCTGATCACAACTCTAACCATCAGCATTATTTCTGCTTTCTCGTTCTCTTTTGCTTATCAAATATTAAAACTAGTTGGTACAATTTAGCGCTTTTGTGAGGCTTGGAATAATGAACCTGAACTTACATCATGTTATTAAAAACAAATGAATGAATGAAAGCCCTGTGAAAATAATGGCCTCAGTGTCATGGGAACATTAATGAGTAATTTTCCTCTGCTATCGCTTCTGAGGTTGGTTCTTTAGAAGCCACCTCTATTGTTCATATTCAAAGGAATAAGGAATAGTAACCTGTTTGTTCTTTTTGAGTGGGGGGCTTGTTGGTAAGATGTTACCAGTGTTACAACAGCTAAAGTTTTCATGAAAATTGCACAGACTTATAATATACTGAGTGTTTTTCTCTCCTTTTTTCTGCTTTTTCAGACAACATACATTTGAACGTGCTGATCTACTGGATCCATTCCAGTTTCCCTTGGAAGCCACTAACTCTTGTAGCTTTTGTCAGATTTCCCTTTTTCTCTTTTTTCCTCCTTTTACTTATTGCAAAAAAAAAAGATGACTCGGCAACTTATGGTTTCGAATTTGTCAAACGTCCACCGTCTTCTCTATTTCCTCTAAGCGTGTGAACTGCCTCTTAAGGTGCTCTGAGTTGGAAAGGGAGGAGCTGGGTCATATAGCAGAACAACTGTTCCCAACCTCAGCAATATAGTGATAAATGAAATATGTGGACCGTAACTGAGGTGTCTGCGTACTTTAGTTGTTCTGATACAGCCAGATATGCATTTCTGGATGAAATGTAGACAAAATGGTCATTTGTGACCTATTATGATAGGTGAGTTGCAGACTGACCACCTCCTTGGACCATTACGTGTGATGGATTGATGGATACATAGCAATTAATGGTGAATGTGGGTGTGGTTATGTAATGTCTGTAAATGTATCCATCCAAGCAAGGAGAGAAAAAATAATCTTAACATTTTCATCGTTCCTCAGGGCTTGCTCCTCTTTATCTTTCCATTTCATTGTGCCAACTTGGCATTTTGCTGTCCTCATGTCTGCGGCTTGATATGGCACCTATACGGTGGCCTAAAGTGAGAAAGCATTTCGAGTGTCTGACTGATAATGACCGGCAGCCTGGACGTCCGTGCCAGAACTGGCGAGTCCAACCTGTGTCTGGCCGCACCAATAACCATTGTATTGGTTTAATTCCACTTCATGTCAGTCACGCGAGGCCCTGCCAGCTTACAGGAGGCAAAAGCCCTGCTGTGCAGGCAGATGTTGAGGAAATTATATGCTTGGTTCTTCATTCATGGAGAGCTGTGGGATATTTGAGCCACCCAGCATGCCTCAAAGTGCCAGGGCCCCTTGACCCGGTCTGCTGTGAGAGGAATGAGGGTTGGCGGTCAGGGAAAGTTTAGGTAAATCTTTTGGCCGCGACAACAGGAACACTGTGAGTGCCATCCATGTCTGCTCGACCTCAAAGAATTCACTGTATGCATCTGTATCTGGAACTGTGGGCAGTAACTCATTTATAAAATGTGTCTTCTGACATAGATCTTTTGGAACTGGGTTATATGAGTATCTTTATTTGTAACCCAACTAGGTTTAAATTGTAGTAACATCCTTGATGTTTCAACACTGCCACATTCAGAATTAGTATGAATGGGTATGTCCTCCAAAAGCCTTCTTTGTCACAGAGTTAAGGAAGCCTCTGACTACACACTGGCTACACACACACATGATTATTATTATTATTATTATTATCATTTTGAAATGTGCATTCTCCGGGTTCTAATGTTTTAATTTTTATTCTTCATCCTCTTTCGCTACCTT